CCCTCTCTTTCTCTTACTAACTTGATTTTTTTTTTTCAGTCTACTATATCCACCGACAAGGTGGAGTCAAAAAATATGTAAGTTCTTATGATATCATATTAGTTTGAACTTAATTGTTTTCGCAGTCTTATTTATATCTATTCTCTTCCACAGTGTCAAGACTGAACCAGATGATGTTACGGAATCTCCCGCCAGTCCTCCTCAGTCAGATCTCAACCCTCCTAGATCTGCACCAAAAATAATTCCAGTGGAGAGGTGTGCAACTGTGGAAAGGGACTACTCTCAGGCAGAAGAAGGATCAAGCTTGGAAGCAAGCAGGAGTCGCCTGAAAGGCCTTATGCTTAAGACTGACTTAAAGACATCGTCTTCAACTCCATCCCCACAAATTCCTGGATTAGATATGGTTTTCCCCAGTCAGGATTCAACAGCTTATAGTCATTCATCACATGATAATAGTCTTAAGTCTCCAACTGAATCAGAAAAACTTAACAAAAATTATTCTCATCCAACTCCATTAAGAGAAGAATGGCCTCGCTTAGAGACTTCTATTCAAAGTCAACCAAGCTCAAATGATTGGCCTGCTGCAAGAGATGTTGATGAGCGAAGACTGAATAGAGATCTTGATTATAGACATTCAAGAACAGATGTAGATCATAGACAACTCCCAGGAAGTGACCGGCATGGCATGCAAGTGCATTCTGTTATGAGTCATCCTCCCTTGTTTCCTCCCTCCTTGAACCATTTAACACCAAAGCCTGCACTTCTTCCTCGTCACATGCCAACTCACAATATGAGCTATAACTCATGTTCTTCATCTGTGCAGGAGATCACTAGGTGTGCTGATAAAGTGGTTCTTGAAACTAAAACCTCTCATCAAACAATTACTTTTGCAAGTGCGAGTAGTAAATCACCTTTGCTTCCAACTCCTCTAGATGCATTAGAACGAGCTGGCAACCAGTCTCGACATTTATCTCAACAAAGAGAAGTGTATGATACAACCTGTAATTCCCCATATCTACCTTCAAAATCCTTACCTAGCTCTACTTCTCATTTGACAGATCGGAAGAGTATTCTGCCGGTTTCTTCTAGCTCCCTTCCTCATAATGCTCCTCAGGGTGAAAGTGTCAAACCTAGTGCAAGAGAGAGAATCATGCTGAGGCTTGATCAAGTAGAGAAATTAGGTGTTAGCAGTGGTGGTGCTCTACGAAAATTGAAAGCAGATATTGAGAAAGGAAAAAGAAGGCCCGGAGAGACAGAGCTGTCTACCAATGAAGAAGCATGCCAAAGATCCTTAGATGTACCATTAAGACAAATTGACCCCCGTCTTGAAAAGGAACAGAGAAGAAGTTCCTTGGATGAAGAGGCTCAGAAGTACAGAAATGCTGCTAGAGGTCATGATCCCCCCATGGGGCTTAGCTCTTCAGCCTTACCCCCAAATATGCCTAATTTTTCTGGCCATCCTCTTCCATTTGGTAGTTCTCAGCCAGGTTCTGTGCAATGGAATCAGTCACATACCAGTTCTCCACATGGGAGAACAATGTTTCAAGGCCAGCAGAGTGTAATGAATACATATTGGCAGAGCACTTGCTCAGTGAAACAGATGAATACTGTTACGACAGCTCATGATTTAGGAATGCGATATCAGCCAAAAATTCGACAAGGAAAATCCATGAATACACAATATGAGAGAAGTATACCAGGCAATATCTTAAAGCCCAATGAGGAAAGGTTTGTAGGGCAGAGAGAACCTGAAATCCATAGAAGAGAAAATGAAACCCACCATGGCCCTGGGAAAAGACCCTTAGACCCTCGGTTAGCTTCTATGAAACCCTTAGAGGAAAAGAAACATTCTGATAGCAAGAATGCTGATATTAACTCTAAAAGAAAAGAGAAAACCAAAGGTAAAGATGAAAGTGATTTCTCTTCTCCCCTCGGCAGTATTTATCATGAAGAAAAGAGAAACAAGACTGGTCAAGGATATGGGTTACAGAGCTACAAAATCCCTAAACGCCCTAAAGAGCCCAGTCCTCCTAAAGATGTAGCCCAATCATCTAAAAATGTGATTGAATCTCGTATTACAGCTAGGGATCCTAGATTATCCAAAGTATTACCTCAACTACTTAGTCCAGAGTCTGTCAAAGAAACCTCATTTTCTTCTGATCTCTGTAACAAACCACTGACTGAAAGTTTATCAGCAGATGCACAATTTGATGATAAACTTGAACAAGAAAATAATGAGCAAACAAACTCCAACTATAAAGCCCAAACAAAAAGCCCGTCTCCCTCCCCAGACACTCATGCTGGGAGCAATTCTCTCACTGTTGGAAATCCCCCAGATACCAATGCTGGAGATTTAAATGTTAGCAGTAGTGGCACTCACTCTCTCAAAGCTGGTAAGAATGCTGATCAAGAGACTCGAAGTCCATCACCACAGAGAGCTTTATCTCGCACCCGTAGTCCCAATAATTACAGAACTTCAAGGGCAAGGAGCCGTTCTAGATCACGAGGAAGAAGCATTTCTAGAAGTAGAGGTAGAAGTCGTTCACGAGGCAGATCTTCTGTGAGAAGTTCTTCAAAGCCAAGAGGGGGCAGTCCATCTAGATCAAGGAGGAGGAGTAGATCTACTTCCAGAAATAGGCTTAGAGATAGGAGTTCTTCCTATTCAAGAAATAGAAGAAGTAGGTCTAGAGCAAAATCTCGAGGGCGTAGTACATCAAGAACAAGGTCTAGAGGTCGAAGTACTTCCAGGTCTCGAGCTAAGTCAAGGGGAAGAAGCTCATCGAGATCCAGAGCCAAATCACGGGGAAGAAGCTCATCCAGATCCAGAGCCAAGTCACGAGGAAGAAGCTCATCAAGATCCAGAGGTAAATCACGAGGAAGGAGCCCGTCAAGAACTAGAGCCAACTCAAGGGGGCGAAGTACATCTAGAAGTAGAGCCAATTCAAGGGGGCGAAGCACATCAAGAACTAGAGCCAACTCAAGGGGGCGAAGTACATCAAGAACTAGAGCCAAATCTAGAGGCAGAAGCTCATCAAGAACGAGGGCCAAATCTAGAGGGAGAAGTCCATCAAGATCCAGAGCTAGGTCTAGGGGCAGAAGCGTGTCCAGATCAAGAGGACACAGTAGAGACAGAAGCCCCTCAAGATCCCGATATATACCAAGAGCTAAAGAGAGAAGTTCTTCAAGGTCTAGAACAGGTTCAAATCGAAGAAGCTCCCCATATTCAAAACCAAAATCTAGTGAAGAGTTCTTAAAATCTAGGGGTAGACATTCCAGATCCCGATCAGACTCAAGGACTAGAACAAGCCCATCTCGTTCTAGAGCTAAATCAGTTGTTAGAGATCAACGTAAGTCAAGAGGTCGCAGTCATTCATCTGATTCTGATAAAATTTCATTGGCAGAGCGCTGGAAAAGAAATCAAAGTCCATCTCCAGACAGGCAAGCAGCTGGAACAAAAATTATTTCTGGAGCTAGGAGAAGAAGTGTGTCATCAGATAGTAATAAGTCTCGAGATTCCTCCTCTATTATTTCGCAAGCGATATCTAGAACCAGATCACAAGGTCGATCAAGGGGTAGATCCAATGCTCGATCGAGATCTCCCGATCAGTCACGAAGGAGTGTATCTAGAGAGAGCGCAAAAGATACTAAGAAGGCAGCAGCATCTTCAAGATCCTCTTCATGCTCTGGCAGAAGTTCACCTCTATTCCCTAAAGGTAGATCAAGGTCCCGATCTCCTTCCAAAGAACTGAATTTTGACAAACTGTTAAGAAAGGATCAACCTTTAGTGACAGATGTTCCTCCCTTGAGTGTGGATAAAGAAAGTGCCATTAAAACGTCACAACTTGAGAAGGACACTGATGTCAGTTCTTCTTTAATTGAGAATGTCTGTTCTGCTGTGGATGTAGTTGTGGATGTCCCTACATCCACGTCAGAAAACATCCCTGAATTACCTTTTAAAGGGGATGCTGGAAGTTCATCTGAAGCACATGATGGGAACAAAAGTTCAAAGCCCTCAAGCTCGCAACTGGAGGCTGTTGGAACATCTGTAGAACCAGGGAACATCATTGTTGGGCTTATTAAAACTCTGGCTAGTCAGGATTTGTTTAAGCAGACAAGTTTAATTGAGCTAGCTGCCCTGGCTGCTAGTCAGCTTCCAGAAGATAAGCGTAACAAGGTTTTAGAAATATTTAGAGAAAATACTGGAGAGGCTCCCAAAGAAGAACAATCAAAACCTCTGGAGAGTGGTTTCAAGGAAGATTTGAAGCATTTTAAAAACGAGGTAGAACAGAAGGGTGACCCAATTGTGCCAAATGCAACATCTGAGTCTGAGACCAGCTCCACCACAAAAAAAGGGAGAAAGAAGAAACAGTCTGTTAAAGCCAAAAGTGCTAAAAATACTCCAAGTGATGGCCTGCAGAAGTCTGAGACTTCACCTGAAGCTTCAGAGAAGCAAAAAAAGAAAAGGGGGAAAAATGAACTGGAGAAACTGCATGAAGACATAAGAGAAATGTTTATTAGCAGAGAAGTTGTAACTGCAACAGGTCAAAGAAGTTGCCGCATGCGCAAAGAAGGTAAAGACACCTTCCAACCACCTAAGAGCCGTCCTGGTTCAGCAGATGAGAAAGCAAGGCCCTCACGTAGTAAATATCGTTATGAAAATGTCATGGATTTTTCTGATGATAGTCCCTGCAAGGACCAAATTTCATTGGATACCACTGGAAGTACATCAGATTGTCAGACAATTGCTGACATCAACAAAAAAATTAGGTCTTCAAGTGAGAGTGAGGATGATATGCCTTCATCTAAGTGTCAAAGAACAAGTCCAGATTCCTCAAACCCAGTGTTTAAAAGAAGGAATAAAACAAATTTCATAGAATCTGATACTGAATCTGATTCGGCCGTCAATGAAATGGAAAGTCCCAAGCAACCTAAGATTTTTAATGATAAGTCAGTAGATATGCGATCTGGAAGTAGGAATGTTGCTAGGAGAGGTCGAAAAATTGGCTCAGTTTCCAGAGATCAAATGAAGATGAGAGAGGAAGTGTATACTCCTTCTTATGATGGTGACTGTGATGAGGGGGAAGAAGATGAATCAAAAATTGAGGACAAAGATATGTCTCAGATAGATACAAGTAATATAATTCAGATTGAAGGTGCTGGCAGTAAGCTAACTCGCAATCAACTAAAATTACTCAAAAATCCAGAGGACCTTAAAATAGCTACAAAGAGAGCTCTAAACTCCTCACGAGAGTACTCTGAATGTGATAGTGACACATCAAAATCTTTGGAGCTTTATGGGAGCTTTCCATTTTCTCCCGTTAAAAAAAAGAGGAAAATAAAAAAACCCTCTGGGGTGTTACAGAAAACAGCAGATGTGAAGACCCTTCATGATGCTACTGATTCCTTGATTTCCGATGAAAGCTTTGTACTTGGTTCAACATCTGAGTCGGTGAATGAAGAGAATTGTCTCAATACATCAGTTGGGAGTGATTATGTTGTTCACACAATAGACGGTCCTTCAGAAAACAACAGTGATGTTGAAATGCCAGAAGCCCCACTTATTTCGGGGGCAGAGCATCCCCTCGCTCTGAAAATGGAGGTTGTTGGTGCTGATGATCCTATTTCTCCTGGGAATCAAGAATACCATAAAGACCTTGAGTACACTGTTACATCAGCTGGAGACAGAGCTTCTTGCAAAATTTGCAAATTTTCTGGCAAGACAATTGTTGGACACTATTTATCTAGCCATCCGTCTGATGAGGTTTTGATCTCCCGTCTCTCAAAGAGTTTAGCCGATCAAGCCAAAGCAAATGTCTGTGATTATAGTGAAAGTGAATCCAAAAAATTTACTGCAAAGAAAAGACTATCAGCTCCCTTGAAGTGTCTTATTTGCAAATTTATGGCCACTAATTTTATGCGTCTGTATGAACATGTTTCAACTCATACTGGTGAATATCGTTACTCTTGTACTCAATGCAATTACAAAGCAGCTCAAAGAATCTCTTTAAAAGCCCACAGAAAGGTACGACATCCTAATACAGAGGTGAAAGACTTGTGCAGTGTATCTCAAATGGAAGAAGGATCAACTTCAAAACTTCTATTAGCATACCTTTGCTCTGAATGTAATTACTTTCAGCTGCGTAAATCAAATCTCATGAACCATATTCAGAGATACCATCTCAATTCTCCTTCAGCTGAAGCTATTCGAATATGTATATCTGAAAAGGGATCATTTAAGACACAGGTAAGTGAAACATTGTTGTTTTTCATTGACTCACTGTTTTGGAGAATGATATAAACATTTATGTAATTTATGTTGTGTGCTTTAGGCTGTTACCAACAAAAAGAAAGACGTGAGTGAGGACTTGACGCTCAGGGAAGTTTCAGGGGAACTCTCTTCAGACTCAGAGCTTACAATGCTCGAAAATGTGGTGTCTGACTGTCAGCCTGGGGTATCTGATTATCAAGCTCAGGCTAAAATGGCAAGAGATCCCTTGCTAGTGACTAATGAAAGAGAATTATTGCACGGAGAGGGAGAAGAATCAACTATAGAATCTGCTCATGCAGAAAAAGATCCCATCAGTGATGAGCCTGACATATTAGAAATTCTCATTCCCTCTACAACCAAGAAACCTTCTACCCCTGTTGAAATGAGTATATTTATTGGGTCAGAGCACAATACTGATGATGACAAAAAGTTGCAGGAAGATAGGAAGAAACTCTTGGAAGACGCTGGTTCAAAGATAAGAGAGAGGCCCAAAATACGAAGCTCTATGTCTGAAAAACTTGCTCAGCGTCTGAATTGTGGTCAATCAACCAGTCCAATAAGTCCTAAAGATGTTGCTCGGAAAGAGGTTTCAACAGAGAGTTCAGTTGACACACAGCCACTTCAAGTCAGAACCAATTTAAGAACGACTCCTGCGAGACTTGCCCAGAAGTCCACTGAGAACTCAGAGAAAAGACCTGGGAAAGGGACACCTCGGACTGCATCTATTATAGATCTTGAAAGTGTTGTTTCCAGTGAGGTTCCGGATGAAGTCAAAGCACCTCTGCCCTCTAGTACCTTACAAAGTACACTGCAGCGCATGCAAACCACCATTGAGTCTCCTGTATCTACACCATCAACTAGCCTTGTATCTTCCCCATCATCAGTTACTCCACATAGCCGTTTGAAGTTAAAGAAAGGATCAGTCATGGTTGGTCCTGTGGAGGCAAGAGCAGTAGATGAGTCTCAAGGCTTTTCCTTCTTTTGTTTATCTCCAAGTTGTGCCTTCAGCACACCAGAAGCTTCAACTTTCCTGAAACACATTGAAAAACATTCAGAGAAACCAGTGTCAGCTCCTTGCAGGTAAAATTCATAATTTATTTCACCGTTGAACTCACCTGTTAACATGTTATAGTGACAGCACCTTTTTTTTCTTTTTCCTTTTTTAAGTGTGTGTGATGAAGGAGGCAATATTTTAAGAGACTTAAGGTCTTCCTTTAATCATCTTGTCAAGTATCACTTAGTGGAAGTGGAAGAAAGCAACAAAGAAAGTGCTGGAACATCATCTACATCATCAAGTTCTGCAATGGTACTAATAAAGCATTTCATTTTGGGCAAGTTTTGTTTTAAAGATATCTCTAACTGTTTTATGCTTTCATATCTAGTCTTCAGGCAAGCCACTGCTGATAAGACCTCGAAAGATGCCCGGTGATGTCCTCTCAGTGGCAGAGAAATTTCAACATGGTACTGTCCGGACTTTTTTTTTTGTAACACCTTTATCTATCTTTTTATTATATTCAAAAAACTGTAATATTTCGTGTTCCAGGTGTTGAAAGAAGTGGTTTGCCATCTCTTGTCATCTCCAGTGTCATAAGCTTGTCTAAGGTAAGAGCCTTTTATATTAAACTTTAAGGTGTACTGTTTTTTTTTTTTTGTTTTTTTTTAGAAAACACAGGCATTCATATTTTTACTCTTGTTTTTTTTAGGATCACACTCCAGATGGGACTCCAATAGAAATGCAGGGCCGTCTAGTAACTACCCCTGGCAGTGTAGATGGTATGTGAAATGTTACTAACCTTTGACCAACTCCATTTTCTATGTTTGAAATTTGTGATGTACAAATTTTGTGTTCAATTCAGGAAGCAGAAAATTTCTTACTGTCCTCAAGAAAGATCCAACAAGCATGTCGGAAATGATGAAATTTGAAAAGATTTGTCATCTTTTTAAATGCATGGGTCAACATTGTGCCTTCAGCTCAAATATAAAGGTAAGTTTAATTCACCTTATTGCATTTGATGATAAAGTAATCTTTTCACCCTGTAAAATTATAATCTTGTCCACAGGAAATATTTGCAGAACATTACCAGAAACACCTCTTAAAGGAACTAAAACTTAATGCACATGCAGCTTCAGAAATATTTGAATGGCAGAGATGTGCTTACTGTGGAGACCTTAAAGACTCTGGAGAGGATTTAGTTGACCACATTCTGATACAGCATGCTGTTCTGAAATACCAATGCTCCGGTTGTTTTTATAGAGCAGCTTCTATTGCCTGTGTCATCTTTCATCAGGTTTGTAGCACTTGTCATTTGTTGTTTCACCTTGCATTTATTCTTATTTTTCTAGTGAATATTGTCGTATATGTGCATTATCTGTTCCAGACCAATTCACATTGTAGTAATGTAATGGTGTTTGAATGTACCTTGCCACAATCTGTTAGTGAACAACAGCTATCTCAACTGTCTCAAAGATCGCTGCAAACTGACCATATTCAAGTCTATAGATGTGGTCAATTTTGTGATCGAGGAGAATGTGGGAAAGTATGTGTGTCATCAGAGGAATTTACTTCACATCAGCAATCACAGCATCCCTCTGATAACATATTTTACTGCAAAGAGTGTGGCCTTGGTCTGGATAGTTCATCAAAATTAATACATGTATGTTAACACCTCATTATTTTCTATCCATCTATCTTTTTAAAAACATATTACTTTGCCATTTAACAAGTTTTTGTTGCTGTCGTTTTTTTTGTTTTTTTTTCATCCTTTCTGAGGACTTATTTCTATCTATGTATCTATTGTTTACAGCATTACAGTACTTCTCATTCATACAGAAAGTACCATTGCTTGTATTGTCAAAAAGCTTCAGAGACCAAAGAAGAAATAAGTTGCCATATGTGTTTAGATCATCCAGATCGAAAAATGATTGTGACATCAAGAACACGCACTGAGGAGATGAATTCATCCCCTGTAAGTATAATTCCTTGTTTTACTATCATCCAAAAATCTTCATACCATTTTTTCTATCTTAAATCAAGGTAATCATTTTTAATACTTTATATTGTTTTTTAAACTTACAGAAAGTACTAAGGTTGCCCAGTGGCTATGTGATAGAAGTTCTTGATCTGGATGATGTTTACTCCCAATTTCCTTGTACCTTTACTGTTTCAAAGAACCAAGAAACAGATAATAGCAATGACCCGATTCTCTTTGACCAAAGCTATACTGCACCCTGTCATACCTATGACATAGGATCTAAACTATCATGGACTGTCAAATCAACTTGGCACACCTCCACCTCTCCAAAAAGTTTTCCTCAAATTGGTGTTGAAGTTGGGACAGAGAAATGGGTAAGTTCTTAAAATAATAAAATGCTAGGTTCCTTTCTATTTGAGACGTACATTTTGTGTGTATTCTGTTTATAGTACAGAACTTAAGTGATTACTTAATTATTTTTTTTTGTTTGTCTGCAGGACACAAATCAGGACATTCTAGAACTTAGTGGTAGATTATCAGAACAATCACCATTGGCTATTACAAGTAGCAATCTCTCTGATGCTGAAGGAAATTTAAAAGAAAAGGATCCGAATCTGAAGACTGATCAGTTTGATAAACCTTTGAGCATTGTTAAATCCAACAAGGACGATAATGTAACTAATCTTTCTGGTTTGTCTTTATTTGTCTGTGGCTACTCAGGTAAGAGTCTTCAGAAAAACAACTTTCAACAGAAGCGTCCTCTCTTTCTTTTTTTTCATACATATTTTTGTTTGTTCACAGGTTGTCTGTTTAGAGGGGAAACGGCATCTGCCCTTAAAAACCATTTGCCCATTTGCGACTTTGCACAAGATGCTGGGACTTTGTCATGTGTGCATTGCAAAAAAGATTTTAGAAATCCATCTACCTTGCTAGAGCATATGCCAAAGCATGGTGTTCCCCGTTATGTATGTGGTTTGTGCGATGATTTCCGAACAACCCACCCAACTATTGCTCATAGGCATGTTCGAAATGTTCACAAATTAGCTGCAATTGATATGGTTCCTTCAGATCCGGACAACCCAGATGGAATTCTTATTCTACGTCCAAAGGTATGGTGTAGTAGGAGGCTTGTGCTCATGTTGTGAAATACCATTACATTAAAGTTTTATTTATTCCTAGGACAATGTAAGAAAGAAAGTTAAGACTAAAATTCAGCAATCAGTATGTAATAAAACAAGCTTTGGACCTGAAGAGAAACATGAACTTCCCTTATCAGCGGTTTTTACCTGCAATGTTTCCTGTAAAGTTTGCAATTATGCTACTAAAGTGCGAAGTAACATGTTGAGGCACTTGGAACAGCATGAATCTGGGTGTGAGCCCTCTCCAGTTCCTGTCCTTAATCCTGTTCCTTGTCTGGAACGCAATGAGAAAATGTTTGACACTATGACAAACCATGCCATAAGCTCAACAATACCTGTAAGACGTGATAGCAATGCCTTCAAGGTAATCTAATCTAATCTAATCATTTATCAATGTCAGTAACATCAATCATGAAATTTTCCTAAAAATTGTTTGAAATATTTCAATTTTAGGTTCTTGATGAGCCAAAATTTGTGCCTGAGAACCAGAGATTTGTGTGCTGTGCCCCAGCATGCCAACAGATTTCATCAGATGATGCTATGTTACGCCACCATATTCGTGTTCTACATCCAGAAATTCTTGTTTATAAATGTCCTCACTGTCCAGAATATGAGAGTGATAGTAGTAAACAACCTATCATGGTTGAAAAATTGGGCTCTCATCTGAAAATGCATGACAGTAGACTATACAGCTGCTTAGGTTGCAGTTATTACCATTATCAAAGGTATCATTTTAACGTATAAGTGTCATGAATCTATTCATAATCTTTGTATTGCCTCCATCATATTTGTTATATTTTTTTATCATTTTGAATCATCAGGCACATTGTGGAACGTCACACTGGTGAAAAGCATCCAGATCAGAAGCTCATTAGAATAGTAAGGGAGCCTCAACCAGATGGTCCTATGGATACAGAAAATTTAGTTGACATTGAGTCCGAAATTATGGGCACTGAAGGCATGTATGAGTGTTCCTTGTGTTCTCTCAAAGGCAATAAAGCAGAAGTGATGGGTCACATGGCTACTATTCATCGTATTCATGCCCAGTACAAATGCACTTTGTGCAACTTTCGGGCAAATGCTAGAGTCCGTTTTAATCCCCATTTTACTAAACGCCACCCAAATGATAAAGAAGCTTTCATTGAAGTGTTCCGTAAGGTAAAACTATATTTCACTTACTTAATCTTGCTAGTGTTGAAGAATGTGCCATAATGAATATTTTTTGTAATGAATTTCATCTTAACAGTGTAAAGTGGAGAAACTTAATGATGAAACACCCCAACCACTTTCTGAAAATTCTACCCCTCCTGTGGAGCGAGTTGTCTTTGATTCAACGCCATTATGGACAAGAAATTCACCACGTGTCCGTCATTTAAGAGGAATCCTATTTGAAGAAAACAGTGTGAAGCCCAGGGAAATTGAGGTACCAAATGTTACATTGTGTGATGTAAGTCATTGCACTAGAAGTGTAGCATATTCTGTAATCTATTGTTTTCTTACAATTATAGCATACTGAATCAAGGAAGGCAGAGCTAGCATTGTCAGTTCGCAATAAGCGTCCCTCAAATGCACTTAGTGGCGAGGACACTACAGTTAACAAGAGGGGGAAAAGGGATGATGCCTCTTTTACTTGTGCCAAATGCCTGAACAAATTTCCAGTTCACGAAGAAAATAATTTCCGGGAACATCTGCGGTCTCATTTCAATAGGTATGTATTGACATGATTTGTAACATTTCCGGAATTTAAAGTGCTATTTTTGAATCTTAACCATTTTATGTATCTGAATCTACTTAGTAAATCTGTCTCTTTCAGTGATGATTTGAGATATCAATGTGTAAGATGTTTGAAAAGTTTTCCATCTATTGATGAGGGAATAACTCATGTCACAGATATGCACCAAAGACTCTTCACTGCATCAGATATAGTTGATACTCATTCAGAAGATCATGTAAGAATTTAAATTTTCTGTCTTGAACTTACTGCGCATGTAAGTTTGCTGATACTGGCTCTTTTCCCCAGATTAATATGGATATCACCCGTCAAATGCTTGAATTTGGATTACCTGTTGAAGCTACTTTGAGCAGGGCTACCTCAACTCTAGGCTATTCCCCTAGTAAAAATAGTTCTCCTCTTCAGACAAGTTCAAACCGAAGATTGTCTCCAAGAGGTTCTGTTGGAAGCATTACACCAATCACTTCACCTGTTTCTGGTACACCCTGCGTATCTCCTAAAAAATTTGATTCTGTGAAAGGTATTAAAGCTCTAGGTTCGAGATCAGTTTTAAAGCCAATGACACAAACTGTATCCCAGTTTGAACAACCAATGGAATTGGGAACAAAACTAAGCCCAAGTGAGTGTATATATCAATAGATTGCTTTCTATTCTCATTTGCGATGTAAGAGGAGCATTTATTTACTTTACTTTTATCTTAGAAACAAAACATGCAGCAAACCCACAAGCGGATTGTTGGATAAATGTCGAAGGTGAAGACATTGAAGTAGACGAAAGTGCTCTGGAGGAAGATATTGAGGAAGTAGAGGAAGAAGAAACTAGTTCTGAAGAAAATCAATTACTAATGAGTGGAAATTTAGAAGAGTTTAATATTGAGCAGCAACCTTCTTCCTCTGCTGAAGGTACTGTATAATGATTTGACATTAGCCAATGGTGTTCTTCCCCTTCCTGAGTACATCAGTATTTTCTTCAATACAGGTTTGGAATGTAAGTACAAAGATACACATGGCTGTGCATTTGTCAGTAAAAGCAAACAAGAATCTCAATATCATGAAATGATGCACTGGGAGATAAAGCCCTGGAAATGTGGTGGTTGTGCATATCAAGGCAAGCCTACATACATTCTACACATTTCAGTTAATTGAACTTTTCTAAATGCCAATTGTATGTTTACTTTCAATTCGGATTACAGCTATAAAACAATCATCTGTTAGACTACACAGTTCAAAGGTACACCAAGGGTTGGATTTGAAACCTGTTAAAAATAATTTGCCACCCTCTCCTAAAATTTTACCGCTACCCAACCAGCGAAAGAAAATTGGGCAAGTGTTTCTTCAATTATTTTTTTATTGTATTTTTGTAATTACATTATATAACCTTGTTTCTATTTGCCTTTTCTTTTTTTGTGTCTATAGGTCAGCAACAGGAGTTGGGTCGACAGGGCAGATGACTTTATCTCTGGATGAAAAACTTTCCGAAGTGAAAATGGCTGACATTGCAGATGTTGAAGAAATATTTAAGAATGTTCATGTGCTGCGCTGTTGTTTTTGTAGACTAAGGGAAACATCACTTACTCGTCTATTTATTCATTGGCAATCTTCTCACAAAAGTAACAAGTCATTTTCTGAGAAAACTCCTGATGGACGGAGCATTGTCCCTTTCAAGTTTAAAGAGGTATGTTTTTACCATTCATTTCTATATTTTTGTTCCCCCTTTGATCTACTGAAATAATGCTTTTAATAATATCTTCTAGGTGAAACCGGGTGCCAAGGGAATAGAAACAATGGCATTTAAATGTGGTTTGTGTGCCAAATCGGGCACAATAAAATTGCTTCTTGATCATTATCCATCTCGTCATCCGGGAGAGAAACTAAGAATTTCTGAGCTAATACATAATAGAGTTCAGTGCTCTATGTGTCCGCGACAATTCAGTGCAAAAGCATCCCTTAATCACCACTTTCTGTCTGAGCATCCTGGTGAAGAAGTTAGCTCAGTTAAAGTTAAGACAACAGATATGTCTGATGATCTCCAAACAAAGTGAGCATTCATAGAGTTCTTATTAACAAACATCCATTCCATACAGAGCTGTAAAGCGGGTCCATCCGGGTCCAAAGCGGGTATTCATCCAATCGCAATATCACAGCATTCTGAAGCCACTGCGGCCCCACACAGATTTTAACCGAGTTGAGGACACTCTGCAACTCGGTTAAAATCTGTGTGGGGCCGCAGTGGCTTCAGAATGCTGTGATATTGCGATTGGATGAATACCCGCTTTGGACCCAGATGGACCTGCTTTACAGCTCTGATTCCATATGTTCAATAAATGGTTAGGGAGGAATCATCCCTGCTCAATTGTATCTGTTTTGTTTCAGCATGGCATGCCTCTATTGCTCCGAACCTGTGAAATCAGCCTTGGAAATGAAAGATCATCATTTGAATTTCCATTCTCATCTAGATGCACAATATATTGAATTGGATAGCAGTGAACCTGCACATCAGTTTCCAATTAAGGTGGGCGATTCTCCAGTACCATGAGAAATATCAGAGTATTTTTCCTTTGATTTATTACAAGTGTAGATAACTTCAGTGTGAATATCATGAAGATGTCAGTTTATAGGAAGCTTTTCTCTCTAAAAAAATCTTTTCTATTAAACATAATGTTCATTTCAATACTTGAAAACTTGATTGTTCATTTGCCGTAGATATATGATCCATTAAGTTTTCTACTTTTACAAAACAAGTTTAATTACTTAAATTGTACTGTGCAACCGCTAAGTAGCATCAATTTGAACTATCGTTTCCATCTTACAGTACTTAGTGTGTTTTAATTTGAAGCCTCACATCCACACCTTGTGCTTGTTTATTTTTCTTCGTAATTTGTAAGATCTGAGATCAAGTTTTAATGATAAGCTGTGATTAATGAGCTGACTTTTATGTGGTGTGTGGTGGTTGCCTTAAATAGTTATCAGTATTTTGGAATAGTTCACCAGTATTTTGGAATACTTAGCAGTAATTACTCTTCAAACAAATGTGCTTATTCCTGAGCAACATTTTGAATTAACTGTAAAGAGGGCATTCTCTGCACCAGATAATTTTTTTGTTGAACCTCTGCAATTGATATAAAAGTGCATATTATATTTTATTAGATTTGAGAATAGATATTTTTCTATATCAATTTGAAATATGTACTTAATGAAGTAATTCTTTCACTGTTCCTTTAAACTTTTCTTCAACATCTCACTGAAATGTTATGAGAAAACACTTCTCAGTTGTTTTTAACAAATTTTAGAAATAATATTGAACAATATTGATTCAGAGAGCGGTGGCAAGGAAATCCACCTCTAGATTTCGTGCAGTCGCAAGAAAGTCAACTGGTGGTAGAAAATGGCACAACATGAGGACCTCTCCCACAAATGTCACTGTGTCAAGTAGCAACACAAATTCTGACTCAGACGATGAATTAAATACTTCCTGTGAAGATGACTTGGACGAAAATAATATCAGCTGTTCCATGATGATAGAGGGAATAAGTATGAGAGTCAGCCTGGCTACACTATCAAAGGTAATCAAGTGAGCTGCTGATACTACATGTATCATTTAGTAAGACTATCTTTTGCTTCTACTTCACACTTTTTTTTTATTCTACCTTTTCAGTATTCCAACATTTATCCAACCATAGTATTGAAGAAATTGGCCCTTTAGTTGTCATCTCTTAATTAATGCCTGGTTGATTCCCGTCAGCGTGCCTTTAATTTTCATTGAGATCCATGTATGTTAAGTTTTATTGAATGACTACAGTCACTAGTGCATCTCCCTCCCCTTTCTATGTATAGTTTTGAGGTCAATAAGATTCGTTGATTTTTTATTTCAGTTATGAGTACAATCTAATCATGTTAAAACCTCTTCAATCTTATTCAATTTTTTGTTCCTTTACCCTGTATACTATGTTAAAGCAGATGTTAGCATGTTACCAAAGATATCAATGCTTTGGCTTGGTGCTAGTGATGGTTAGTGAGTAGAAGGAATTTTATCCTTTGTGTCAAATGAGCGTAAAGGAATATTCTTAGTATTCCTGTTTATCATTCCATTTCCAGTGATGCACAATGTATTGAATAAATTTATTCTTCGATAGGAAATTGTATTTGTTTAAGTAAAACAGTCCTATTCTAAACAAAACAAAAAAATGCAGGCAAGCTTTGCTGTCCCAAATCTTTGTTTCCAATCTCATAATCGATTGAGGTGGGTGGTGGTAGGAGACAGTTGTAATTGAAGAAAATATAATTCCTTAAAAATTTAATATTTTCACATTTAAGAGATAAGCAAATTAGGACAAATGGGGTTAGCTATCTCTGAACAGTAAGCATTCTTGTGTCACAGCTTAAACAAAACCATATACAATAAAAAATAAAAGTAACCGGGAGTTGACACATACAATAAATTTAAAAAGTAAATAAAACTGGGAGGACAATTACTAGTGTAGTTCAAAACAAAATCAAATTTGCTTTACCTTCAAATATAGTCTGCAAAAAGAGCTCAGCGAAACTGGGGTGCCATAGGCAGTTTACCAAATCCACGTCATAGAGAGAGACCACACTTAGAGGTAAACCAAATTTCATTCGACTTGAAAACTGATCAATTGTTCAAAGCTTCGTTCAGTAGATCTTGGACCAAATCCAAGTTAGGAAACTTTTCTTTACGAGGAGGTCCACGCTTAAGTCCACTCCAAATTAAAACTTCTAAATTTAGAAAAAGAAAAATTATTTTAAATATTTATACACAAAGCATAGTAATCTCTAAAATACAAGATGTTGACCTACCAGATCCATCCTCCGTAATTAGCACCAACTCAAAAGCTCCTCTCCTGGGTTTTTCGGGGTTGTACACTGCTTCAATTGTGGGCCAGCGCTGACGTAGCCTTTCTACTACTTCATCAGCCCGGCGTTTAAACACTTGTCAAGATTTGCTGAAAGAGAACAATGGAGTGAATCAGTCAACTTTAATCCAAGTAATTTTACCACACACGTTTCCAAAGCTTACCAGTGCTCAATCGCTACTGTGACTTTGCCATTCTGAGAAGTTTTGTTGGACTCTGCTGAAGTTTCAGCTTGCACTTTCTTAGGTCTACCTCTTTTCTTTGGCTCTTCTACTGCTGGCATTTCATCCACATCAGGGTTCACTTTTGGCTTCCTGGTGTAGGTTCTTTTGGCAGGTGCTGGAGCAGAGTCAGTTTTTTCCCCATCTGGCTTGGAGGCTGTCTTTTTCGGTGCTGCTTTAGAACCTCTCATCAAACCAGCTTCCGAAGAGGCAACAGTATCCTCATCGTCAGCCTTTTCAGTAACATCTACTTTCTTAACAGCTCTTGATTTCTTAACAGGCACAATATCATTACTCTCATCCTTTTCATTGACTTTCTTTGTAGACTTCTGCTTGACATTTTTAGATGAGCCTGCGGGCTCAGGGTCTTGCTCCTTGATTACTTTGCGAGATTTACCTCTTGTAGCTTTCTTAGTGACATCCTTAGATTTCTCTTCTAAATCATCTTCAGTAGCCTCTGCTTGATGCCCATCTTCCGTAAGTTCAGATGTTTTCGCTGGCTTCTTTGGATTAACTTTACGTTTCTTTGCAGGCCCTGAATCATCACTTTCTTTCTTATTACTCTCAACGAGATCAGGTTTTTTCTTGGATGCTGCAGTCTTCGGTTTCAGGGTGGGAACAACTTCCTTAGCCTGTTTCGAAGGCCTCAGTGTTCGTCCTGTTGAGGATGCTTCGGCTTCAACAGGTTCATTCACTGTGGCAACCTTTGGTTTTCTTCCCCTTTTCGCAGGAACCTCAGCAGCAACCGATTCAGCAGATTTTGTTGGAACCTTGTCAGCTTTAGGTTTTCTCCCTCTTCTAGCCGGGATCTTTGCAGCCTCAACTGGAGCTTCCGTGGGAGGCTCTGGTGAAGATGCTTCTAGATTTTCCACTGAGGCAGGATCGGCAGGGGCTTCAGCTTCGTCCCCACTGCCATCCACTTCATCTACATGCTCATCATCTCCACTGTTTACAACTTCATTTTCATCATGATTTTCTCGTTCACTTTCACCAGAACTGTTTTCGTGCTCACTTTCGTCGCCACTAGAAGCACTTTCGTTATCCTTTCCCATTCTCGGATTCTTCCTAAAATCAACTTTTGGATGAGAAGCGAGACAACCAACAGTGACACTCACGATAGTTCCTGGCACACACTAAAATGCTGGCTCGTCTGGACACCGGCAGAACCACACGTGTTGCGAGTTGTCCAATTTGACTACTTCAAGCTTCTCTTTCATGCACAGTTGTTGAAACTCCCATAGAAACTGGAGCCCACTGGACGACGGGCTAGTAGAAATAGCAGCAGTGTTCTTGCTTCGGGCGAAAGAGAAGCAGTGCCCAGGGCTCACTAGCGATGATCCGGACGATCGCGTAGCGCGTAGCGTAGCGAAGGGATCCGGCCGGTAGTGTCAACTGACAACTGAACTGAACTGACGAGTTTTGACTTGTCTTCTCCCTCCACCGACCACCTTGACTCGGATTGGAACGGAAATGGAGGGAAACGGGATTAGGGGTGGGGGATTGTTGTTGTTACAAAAATGACCGAAATGTCGAACTAGATAGAAAGATGAATTAAATACTCCTGCCATACAGACGTTATACTATAGAGCACCTCTCTGCAAAAGCGAGATAAAATCTTACTTCAGCTGGGCATAAATTTAATTTAATTCAAATATGGTACATTTTCTCATTGAACGTCGAACTAGTAATAGGGAGGATGTTCAAAACGAGTTATGAATGTGCTGGTTGACGTTGCTCAAGTGTGGTCATCCGAGATCCTCAGACTACATGAATAAATAATCTTTCTTAATCAAATTGCATAAAATTCGATTATTCAAGTGGGGACCAAAATATGGCTTCATTTCATAGGTACTTGTGTTAGTTTGCCAACAGGTGGATATCGAAAAACGACAAACTTTTAAATTGAGAGAGAACTTTTTGATTCTTCTGAGCTATTTAACTGGTCAGGGTTTCTAATGTGAGACATCTACTTGCGCTCAGGGGCAAGTTGTCGTGTTCTGTTAACATTCTTTCAAAAAACTGACAGTTAATGTGTTTAATAAGGCACTCAAAGGTGTGAAGCCAGTAGTAGTACAGAGAATAATTTATATATCAGATAAACATTTTTATTTGGTAAAATTGGTGGTTTGGATTCAGGTCAATTGGTGATGATGGAGTACAAAGTACAGCTTCAGTACGAAGCTCACAGTAACAAAACAATTAGTATGCAAATTGAGTTACAATTTTCAGATCTGATCTAGAAAAGCATGTACTTGCGACAGGGAATGACAAAATAGTTCAATGGGAGGAAAATTTAGAACAACAAAACACAAATGTTACAAGTTAGAAGGTTAAGAAAATAAAATAAAATCAGATTTTTACAACAGCTGAAAGATAAGAAACCAACATCTGAAATCAAACAACTAACTCTTTCCTAAACATGTGCCTTGCACAATTTAAAATAAAAAAACAAAAGAAAATAGTTCAGAAAAAATACATTCTAATCTAACTGACAAGGAGAGGCCAAACAATCAAGATATGTAAGATGTGACTTACTAAAAGCAAATGAAAGATTTGAAAGGTTATGACAATGAGCGGGTTTGCAGATTGTCCGATGAGCAGAATATTGCATAAGAAAACGAAGAATACTTTTGGACAGAATAAGAATCCGTCGCCGGCAATCGAAATAGAATGGTTCTACAGCCTATTCATCTCCAACACGTATCACAAACATGCTACTCGTTAAAACGAGAGGTCCATCATAGTCATTACATTACACTGCAATTCTGACAAGCCAAACAAAGAGACTCGTAATGAGATAGGGCTTAAGATGTTTACAGAATTGCTAAAATATACAAAAAGTTTTATCAGTCCAAAAATCACTTCTCCTCACACCACTCGTTCTCCTTTCGTACTTGTTCTTCCTCACTTGGAGTGAAATCATTCTTGATATTGAAGGTCTTCCGGATCTCTTCAGGGGTTTTACCTTTGATCATGTTGGCGACAGTTTTGCAGGTCACATCCAACAAACCCTTGATGTCCAGGTAGTTGGCAGCCAAAATAAGTTCAAATAGGGTACCCTGGTCTACCTTCAAAAAGTCCGCGTCCCAACTTGAAATATCATCAGTGCGCTTCTCCTTGTTCTCATCATCTTCGGGTGGAGGTGGGTCATCCTTGTGGTATGTTGCCCACTGGATCACTTTCTTCAGAATGACCGAATTTACATTCGGCAGAGGCACAAGTTCTTCCTCATCTTCGTTGACGCCCAGGTCTTCAAGCATAGTCTTGATAGTAACAGAGCATTTCGCCACATCCACATCGACCTCGCATATCTCACCGTCAGAACTTTGGAGCTTGATCTTCTGCATTTTCAGGTTTGCGGATTCGTTGAGACAAAGACGGCAAAAGTCTAGCAAATTAGCTGAGTGTGCTTCGCAGGTGAATAGGCACAGCGTCGGAGCGTGTCTTGACTTGTCACTCGATCAATACCCAGAGCTGGAATGGAGTCAGGACGGACGGGACGGAAGCCTACAGCGCACTGGCCCTCTCCTCTATTGTTTTTCTTACAAGGCTGTACGCTCGCTAGAGGGCTCTGTGTGCCTTGACAGGGTGACGAACGCAACAATGTAAAGGTTGTGGACTGAGACAGGATAAACTCAGCGTTTGTTGCAAGTTTTACACGTTTTTAACCAATTTTCAGCAAATTATTTATTTTATGGCATTTGCACAGCCACTGGCTTGTAGAAAACGTGGAATAAAAACGATGGCATATTATTGTGTGGATTGGCAAGAGATTACCGGTCGTCTTTTGTTGCGTGTTTTGTTCGGCCACCGGCGCGCCAAAATGAAGAAAATCGGAAGTTGACTCAAATGCATTCATATTTTATGTAAATTATTTTTTAAAAGAAATTGATATGGAAACATTGGATTTGGCTAAACATGTCTACGATATGCAAAAAATAAAACTTTATTTTCTCTATAGTGGAAAAGTGTGACATGTACGTGATTTGCCGGTCTTACACGACCTTTGTTGTGTTAACGGGTCAAGTCAAGTGGAGTTATAGTGTAGGCATGTGTAGGGGTTCAGGTGCAGAGGGAGGGAACAGGAAAATAAATAAATGTTGAAGTTGAACAAAGAAGCTTTTAATAGGAGTAAAACAAAACGGAAGATTCATGAAAGCAACTTTGAAGATATTAAAAATAATACTGTACACTTTTAAGGCAATTTATTGTCAGTTTAGTAGTCACTTGGAAGAACTGGGCTAAATAGAACACATAGCCCCCTTTTGCATTAAAATAGGCAATTTATGTGTTCTGACCAAGAATTATGAAGCAGATAGAATGAGTCAACTGAAGTGCTCACTATAGTTAGTCTGTTAAAACTATTTTTGAGAGATTCTAACGTTTTCTCCAAGAGCAATAATGCACCACCACTCACTAATGTTGACCAGATGGTTCAGGTTGATGTGTTTGGTAAACAAGAACAAAACAAAACTCAAGTAATAACATACATTATACAATTAACCATGGGAAATAGAAATGTTAATCTTTACATTTTGTACAAAAGATATCAAAAATGACTTGTTACTATAAGTGGACATAAGCAGTTTATATTACAGCATTTGGCTTTGTTACATGGTCAGAAAATTCACTCTACAAGCTGAAATACACTTCAAAAACACAAGTAAAATACAGATTAGAAGTGATTTAAAGTTTTAAAATGGGGAAAAAAATGGATGAACAATTTCATTGGCATAAAGCTTTGCCTATGTCTGATAATTTGTGATATTAAGATACATACAGAGATGATTACAAAGAAGGAACTTCCCTTTGCCATGAAAGCAGCCCTAGAAAGGGAAAAAATTTAATTGTGATTGTTTCCTCCATTTTTCATTTGTTTTATCTTCTGTGTTGGGTTTTCCACGACAGCTTCGTAACAGTGCCTGAAATCTCCACAACAGTCTAGTTACAGTAAAATAAAGTCTGACTGGCATGAACTCCGACCCTACAATGTCCTTCTAAAAATTAGTCCAAGACAAGGTTTTGCTTATCAATTCTTCAAGCCATATAAGCTGTCTGAAGCATAGGTCTGAAGTCTGCCCCTTTGCATGTAAATGCACAGATCAGCTGTATAAAGCATAAAATCGATTATGTATTCAAAAAATTCAGAGAAGTCATGAAGCAAATATTTCTTTTACATCTCTGTACTTTTTGACCGATAAATAAGAAAATACTACCATCAACAAACCTCATAGGCCAATGCATTTATATCACCAATCCCTAAATTTTGGTCTAGCGTCAGGGTTATTTAACAAGTGTCCAATCACATTATGTATATACATTACGTACATAAAAAAATGTTACATGATGTGGCTTCTGAGCAATGTTGATAAACACATATCAACCAACAACAAACGTAGTTCAAAGTCTTTTCTTTTTTATTAAAGAAAGGAAGCAATTATCTTCAACAGGTAATGAAAGCTCTTCAAATTCCTCAACAAAGAATCATCTTTCACATACAGAAAGATCCGAATACAAGTTCCTACTGATACAATTCTGATCTGAAAACAAAACGGTTTTCACCTCAGGAAATCACAGATGCATAAAATCACATACCTTTGAAGATTTTAATATCAGCACCTCACTAACCACTAGGCAAAAGCATACATATGTAGAGGTACTACCCTTGCTTCATAAAATGTAAGTAACCAAGGTTGAAAAGAAAAGTTGTCAAAATTACAAAAGAGTAGCTTGGAGGTTTTCAGTCAAAATCTGGACTGCCTTGTCGTTATCACATACTGCTGATATACATAGTGGTTTGCACAGGGTATCATCCAAGATATTTACATTTAAAATAATTAGCAGGAAAACCAAGAAGTTGTCTGAACTTTGGACCTTAATTAAAACTGAGTTTCACTTCCTCTACTTATTCAACTGATTGTCAAAAGATACATTTTAAACTGCTTGTAGTCTGATAAAAGGTGAAGAGAGTTATTTGTAAGAACACAAGAATGGCCAAACATAATGGACCGCAACCACAATATGCACAAGACCAACAAGCACCAAAAGAATATCTACTCCCCCCCCCCCTTAAAAAAAAGGAAAAAAAAAAAAACAATTTTAGACAAATGTTATTCACTCGGTTTTAACTGGGCCTTATATCCGATATTGTAACTACATGAAATTTAAAAGAAAGAATTGAAAATGAGAACATAAAACAACAAATGCTACATCACATGAAGTTAGTCTAAATATAATATCAAACAAAATTCTACTGTCAATCATACATAGTATTGTTAAACCACACGTGTAAAAGCTTGAAATTGTATTTGCCAGCCTGAAAATTATGCTTGAGCATTTCATTTTAGTTTTGAGAATTTTTTCAGTTGGGAGAAGAGAAAGAGAGTGGATTCACTCTTTTAAAATCATATTAAAGTGCTAGACACTTTCAGTTAAAATACTCTTACCTAAGTCAGAATAATGCTGAGAAGGCACAAAAGATTCATAAAGAAATTAGTTTCAGGATAATACCCTGAAGCATTCAACAATAATAGAGGATAAAGCATGCAACAATACACTCACTATTCTTTTCACAGTTTGAGCGGTGGGTGCGATAAAGGGAGACCACAAAAGTGCAGTGAGCCTTAAAATTAAAGTCCTGGCCATGGCAGTTCTGATAAATGCGACTAAGTTAATACTACACCAAATGATATTTCATTCTGAAGTTTCTCTACAAGATATGAAACAAAATACTCAGACAAATGTGTCAGTTTCAAATTGGCAAGACAAAATCTTCCAGATACAGTTAGTTATCAGTTAACACAAGGGGAATCAGCACCTGTTTGACAGAGAACTAACACCAGTTATCTCTTTTTTTTCTTCTTTGAACACACACACACGCAAAAATAATTATGAATGAAAAAAGATAACATCTGCGAATGACATAATGCTGTTTCAAATTAAGAATACTAAACGAGAGCCAGGTTAAATTGATGACATTTGAAATGATTGAAATACTGATTTAATAAGAAGAACAGAACTTCTGCATCATATGGACACATTACACGGAGCTCAAGAGCCCAGAAAGCAGGTCTTTAAATAAAATACTTATCTTACTGAGAAAAAGTATGACTCCTTTCAGTTCATAAAACTAAGATATTTTGGCCAGGAAAATAAAAAATTGAATACTCTTTTCCCAAAACAATTGGAAATTCCAAGCTGAAATAAAAATGTCAATGCCGACAATGGTCATATCTAAAATATCACTTGAAAATGCAATAGCAGTCCAACAAAAGAAAAGGAAAATATCTAGTTCTCTTCCTAACAAAGATGAGATAGTTTCTCCCAATGATTAGTATAAAACTATCTACAAAGAACACACAAAATTGTTACACAGAAACAAAGACCTTAAGTGTGTTCCTCAAAAATTTGCACAGCTAAACTTGCATGAAACACTTAAGAAAATGTTCGCTTACTGCAGATCAGTTTCAGAAAAGAAAACAAAGGTAATTTTCTAGTAAAGTGAAAAATTAGCTTTCTTTAGACTACTTAAAAGCTGTGGCAGCTCTTGCTCCTGCTAGATCTATCACTCCTCCACAGACTAGGATCAACAGCGTCGCAAGCATGCATATGAGCACACTTCAACGCTTACTTCCTTAGATTGATATGTACACAAAAACAATTACAAACAACAGATGTGAGCCCTGAAATAGGAACACAGTAACATGTGCACATAACTCTAAGTCATACACATGCAAAGGAAAATGAGATAAAAATGTCTTAACAAAAATATATTATGAATACTAGATGTGGCTAACATTACATATGTCAGAGGAGCAAGAAACTAAATATAGCTTTTTGGCTTGAAGCTATGGTATACCCAACGCACACAAAATGTACTCTGAAGAGAAAAAGCGTTATTGTGCTAATAAAATACAGGCTCTTGCTTTAAATGACGGAGTAAACAGGTACAAAGGTTGAATTTCAATCTATTCTTTTCTTGCAAGGTCTGAAAGCTTTAACAGTTCATCACTACAATATAATGTGAAAAAATTACTGGTCTGAACATTGATTAGAACAGAGACAAAGAAAGAACAAAAACAACCTGTGAAACTGATAAGTAATTTGGGCAAACAAACACAATTGCCCATAGAGGTCACAATGAGAGATAAGTAAGTTTATCAATGCTAATTGAGCTTAGCAAATTAGATACAAGTACATATCCAGCATGAAATGGATAAGTTGTCAGCACCCTTTAAATCATAAAATATAAAAGCATTGCTCCAAAACAATAAGCCTTATACAAGACTAAAAGCTCTCTCTCTCAAAAAAAAAAAAGTCACATTAAAAGAAAAAAAAAAGAAGAACTGAACATTTGTTCATGTAAGTCATAATAATGTTGTCCAGAAATGAAAGTTTTCAAACTTCATCAGGAGCTAACTCTTCAGGGCCAGAATTGTTTGATGGTACAGTAACAGGTGCTGCAACTGGGGTTGGCGTTGGTACAGTAGGTGTTGCATCTACTGCTGCCCCTCCATCAGCTGTTACTTGCTTAGCTTCTAGTGCCCGAATGCGGTTCTCATGTTTAACAATCATTGCTTTTAGCTTGCGGATCTCCTCCCTAAATTCTTTAATTGTATCATCCTGGAGAAAAGAGCATCTAATTGGTTACATATCTTTAAATCTTAAGCCATCAGAAATAGTGTATAAATGTGATCATACTTACAGATAAAGCTACTGGAGGAGGTGCAACAGGTGCCAAGGATGTATCTGACTCATCCACTGACCTATGATTAGTGGTACTTGAACTGTGTTTTGATAGTTTGTCAAGAACATTACGTTTCCCTCCGGAAACTGCAACTTTGAGGTCACTCTTCTTTGTGCTTGTGTACCCATCGCGTAAGGAGACCAAAATGGGTTCTGCATTTTTGCCTTCCATCCATTCTTCAGCACTAAGAGCTGATGTGTCCCCAGCTGTATCAGGGTACAAGTCTTCTTGGAACAGCTCCGACTGCAACAGATGGCATGGTTTACATGTTATAAAAGGCAGAAAATTAGAGCACTACAACATTTAAAACAGCACTTACCTTTCTTGGAACTGTCATACTGATAACCTGACAGAAACCAGAATTGTTAATGCGATAAAATCGCGAAATTTCACATGAGGTTACATCACAACCTCTCTTTGGCATCATTCCAATGCCTCTTTGAGCATCAGGAGTTGGGAAGGTATTAATGTAGTGTACAAATGGGGGTTCAGATGTTATCTCAAAATATCTTATAACACTGTCTCCCTGGACAAAAAAAAATATTATTAGATAGAAAACAAGTAACACTTTAACAACTAAATACAAATATTAGAACAGAAGACAAACCTTGCCACATAGGTAAACCAGATTTGTATCTGGATCATACAGGGGAAACATTACACCATTGCTAGTATCCAATTCAACCATGACAATAGGTTCTTCTAAATGACCTGGAGCTCTCAAAGAATACTGTCGTTCACTGACTCGACTGAAACCAGTAGTAAATACAAGTCCACTTTTCAGATAGAGGGCTCGTGAAGCTTTGGTTCCTTCATGGCACATTGCCTCCTGGAAAGGCAGACAGGAAATGAGTAACACATTCACCTACTTTAGAACCAAACAGAAAATAAGCAATTAAGTACCTCGTCCACTTCCCCGGTGCGAGGATCAATGATACGCATTTTTTTGTCTTTGCATGTTGTTAGAAGCTGTGTACCATCCCAATTCCAACAAGCACTATATACAATATCTGGATGGCAATCAATATGTACAAGCATTTCCCCTGTTCCAACATTCCAGATGACAACTTGGTTGTCAGAACCTGTAATTTTTAAGATTAGATTAAAGCAAATGGGGGCTAAGGAAGGAATATAATCGAATTCGTTGTATTTCTTTGGTACCTGCAGTGAGCAAAACATTCTGTGCAGTTGGGTGCCACAGAACAAGGCCTACTCTTCTCTGGTGGTAAAGAAGATCAACAACTGGTTCTGTCAAGGTTCTAAAAATGAAAATATAGGACAAAAAAAAATATATTCATAGATATAAAAATTACAAAGCAAAACATATTCTAGAGAATGCAAGCAAAAGACATCTGAAGATGTTACCTTGAAATTCCTCCGTCTGGAATCTGCCAAACTTTAACTACACAATCTTCAGAGCCACTTGCAATCACATTATCATTGTGAGGACACCATGCAATGTCTAATACTGGACCCTTGTGCCCTCCAACTAGGGGATAATCTGCTGGTATCCGCCCAACCTGAAGAATAACATTTGAAAATATTCAAACAATTCTGGAGAAGTTAGACAACAATTGAATTCTCAAAATTCAAGGTAAGAATAAGAAGTTCTAAAAAAAAAAATAGTTTTCAGATTTTGTAGTTTGGTCACACCTAGGTGTGAATTTTGCATGCCACAAAAGCTACAGCACAAGGTTGGATATGGATGTCCCCTTACATTGACAGTAGCTAATAGATTTAAATGTATTACCATTTTAGTGGGAACACAATCTGATGCACCTTTCAACTGATGACAATTTAATTAAGGGGATAATTCAATTGAGAGGAGACTGGAAGAGAGTATAAAAATTGAAATTTTAGAACTTGTATTGGGAGTGTTTGTAAATGATAACAGAAGATGAAACTTAGTTTCAAGAATAACAAGAAAGGTAGGGAAAGCCAAGAGGGGAGACTGCAGGACTGGCTAAGTTTGGAATGGTGCCAAGGGGGAGGAAGAAGACAATGGGTGGATGAACTATTTATCTGACATGTTACTGAACATTAGAGTAAGGATGGCCTTTGAGTTTCAGGTATATTCAAATTGATGACAGGAGACTGATGCCATGGTGAACCAGAATGGGATACAGAAGAAAGGTCAAGCAGGGCCAGGGGAGATATACATGGCTGGCACCCACATCCACCACAGCTCTCTCTTGTGCCAAAACTATTTTTGAGAGAGAAATCTTAAAATAGCAGACACACATACTCATGGCAGATCTTTAAGTTTACTATTACAGTGTATACAAAAAATTAAAAATAAAATAGACAATCAGATAAAGGTCAGCAAGCGGTAAAAAAATATAAAGCTAAGAAAAGTACTGTATATATATTAGCATGCTCAAAATAATATGATGATGTCCCTCAAAATGTTCATGCATCCTATTAAATAGGCAGCTAGGCACGAAAATTACTGCAATGAAGTTGACGTCTAAATCATTGAAGGGTTAGACAAGATAATAGCAAAAGATATGAAATGTTCTAATAAAGGTTTAAATTTTTAGCATGAGGATAATTAGACTATTATTATTTTTTTTTTTGGGGGGGGGGGGGGTAGGATAAGGGTGTTAACTTTGTGTAAACTGAAATAGAAATTATGTTTAACAGTATTCCTATTTTTAATTGTGAATGAAGAAGCACAGAATATGGTCTTCTCAACTGCTATAACAAAACATTGGGGGTAAAACAGAAAAAAAAACCAACAACAGAATCTTCTGAAACGAGATAAGTTCAGAACCGTCAAATTGCACTTAAACTTAATATTGATAGTCAACAAGATGTGGCAGAAATTACAAGTACAGCCTATGAGAAACTTTGAGGGCGCTTCAACAAAGTGCATCATAAAACGGACTGATTTTTCTTAAGGAGAACAAGCATTGCTTGAATAAATGGTAAAGAGCACCTGAGGTAGTTAAGTGGTACAACAGAAATTAAGTATGGGAGACTTCCTCATAGCACAGACAAAAATTAAGTTTTGTTGTATAATAATGTAACAAAACAGCACACTCAACATCTCTGCAGAGACTTAGAAAGTAATGATAGATAAAGTAAAAACAAACAAAAAGAAACGAAGAACAATACTGCTAATTTTGGGTGGGACATCTTCCATGATGCATTGCACATATACATCTCTGCTACTAAAACTAATAAAAATGATGCAGTATAGGGATATTGCAACGTCAATTGCACTTACTCATTAGAGGTACCATGTTTGATGATAACGTGGTTCCTCACAGGCCATAAGAAACTATTACAATATTCAGGAAACTTGGTGAGCTGTGATGCAGATAAATTCTTTTGAAATTTTGAAGCAGTAATCGAGACATTAACCCAAGTTAAAACTTCAGCTCGAGAAGCATCATGAAGCTCCCTGAAAACACCTAGAAACTCCTTCTTAATCAATAGAAACAGGGTGAGGGTGATAGTGAGAGAACAGAAACAGAGTTTTCCGGGAGCTCCGTGATGCCCCTCCAGGGATCAGCAATTTGTTATGGCGAACCAATGTCTCCATAGGGTTGTATTTAGGTACAAGTCAAATTATATTCACAAAACCGTTAAATAACAAAATGATGAATCACAAAAAAACCTGTTGAAACAGGTAGTATGATAATTCAAGAACTGAACATAAAATTATATTTATTTATCAGTGAAAGAGACTAGGTACTTAACTTTCTTAATTAGAACTATGAGCAGCTGAATAATTTTCAATGTATTGAAAAAGATTCATTTTGTCCTGCGCAGCTTCTGACTTATGCATTACGTTCAGGTTCAATGGGTTAAGTAGGAGGAGAAAATATAAAGTGAACATACCTTGTTGTGAGGGAGGACAATAAATGCGCCACCGCCAGCTGATTCAACAATAATGGCCAGAAACTTTGGATTCACAGCACAGAAGGTTGAGTCCCAGGAAGACTTTGATACTCTGATATTGTCATAACAATGCTCTCGTTTGAGAGCCGTGCCATAGACATGGCGAAATTTGCTGGTACGCACCACACGGAAAGACATCTGAAAAGTTAAAACACGAAAAGTGCTTCAAAAGCCGAGTCGAGAAAAGCGCTTTAACGTAGGTAACTTAACCTAATAACACGCCCTACAGAGCGCACAACCCAAGTCCTCATTTCAGACCTATTCGCTTGAAAAACAACGAGAAAACAATTTCTTATACCCTTCAAACTAACCTTAAGGCCGTATTTTTACTACAGAGATCCTATTCTGAGCATTAATCCCGCGGAACACTTGCAAAGTTATACTGTGTCGATAAATATTGAGTAATCAGGGTTAGGCGGCTAAACCACCCGAGATGCAGTAGGTTTCTGAACGGAAATAGATTCACAATGCCATATTTGGTAATGCTTCTCTTTGCAACAATACGGCCTTAAGCAGGCAAAACCCGTCATAACAATTTAACTAATAATGAAAGATTAAAACAATAACCTTCTCTTTCACTCCGATAAATTTTTAGAAAATAAAACTAGACATATATTGTTTAGGGTATCCGTGGGTCCGTTCCTGAGCGAGCGGGCGAAACGATTGTGGCTGCGGTCACTGGTGGTCGAGCGGTCTTTGGCTACGCGGAGTAGCGATGGAATAGCGTAATCGTGTGCATGGGGTATCGCTGTGCCTTCTTTAGCTCCATGAACGAACAAGAGATGGCGCCCCAGGGTCGGGGAATGCCCTCAGCACGGTCGAGACTTCGGTCCTTTCTTTGGTCCGGGCGCACAGCGAGTGGGAGCATTTAATGCAATTTCTTTCCATTCACCGCAAACTTTGCTATCAAACTCAATACGCCGTCTGGCAGCATTTCAAAAAGTTCTACCCCTCTTTCCCCTCGAGTCCCCCTCCCCGAGTCGTCCTTCACACGGACCTAGGCTTAGGGCCGCAGGGTGCGGACGGGCGACCAATGGTCTTCCAAGTCTATTGTTTGCGCCCAGACAAAATACGAGAAACTAAACAACTACTGTCCTGGCAGCTTCCACGGTTCGCCGTTTGACTTGGGCAGAGGCCTAGATTTCAGGGTGGGCGTCGGCGGTGAGCGCCACCCAAGCGTTTCCAGCTCCGCATCAGTCCGCGTGTTCTCCATACCCCCCCCCCTCCCACTCCCTCCTTAGCCCCCAATCCCAATCCTGTGCCCCGCCCGAAGAACACGACAAGGTGCCATTTGGGGAAAATCGAGTGGTGACTCAAAAAATCCCGTTGCTCGATGAGTCAGAGCAGAAAAGCACAACACGAGAAAAACCACCGGGGCGCTCATCGGGGGGACCATCACAGGCTTTCTTATTCAGAAAAGATCGCCTCACGACAAGTTTGGGGTTGATACGGGTGGTGTGTTATTGCACTGGGCAGCAGTTCCAGGAGCACGAGGTGTCGTGCACACGGTGGTGTGCAGCCGTGCGATTCAGGAGATCGTTCAAGAGGGGCTCTTCTATACCTGCCCTATGAGTGCAACAAGGAGGTACAGGAGAACGATCTCCTGAATCGCACGGCTGTGTTGTCGGCGTCACCACAACATCCCGTGAGCACCCCTTCGTCGTGCCCGTGCCCCCACCGTCTCACAACCAAGCACCCCATAGGATAGACTTATATGGAGGCCGTGAGTATGGCCAAGCACCGGACTTGCCCCCTTCTTTCTCTCCCTCCCTCTTCTCGTCTGGTGGTGCCGCCGGGGGTCGGGTCAGAGTGCAGCGGGGGTGCAACCAGGTACAACCGGGTGCAACCGCGAGCCCGCAGGGCCGCAATCACCAACAGAGCGCGCGGGCTAAGCGGAATCCCCCATCCTCCTCTCCTCCAGGACGCGGGGCAGCCCCACGCGTCAACGTGGGCAAGAACGGGCAGTTGACCCCCCCCCCCCCCATCCCACCGATGGCTGCGTTGGTTCTGCATTCCGTTGCTTACTTAATGAGAACGGCGGGGGCGAGTGGGTCTAATGTTGAGTACAGCTGTCCGGAACAGACTGCGCGCTGTGCTGTGCAAGTGTCGCACATCCGCTCACACGCCGAGTTGGCACCATACACAGGTCGGCGGCCATGCACACCGCCGGCTGTAGCCAGGGGCGTAGTCCCTAGTAGTCCCTTTCGGGATGCTTCCGGTCGTTGATCGTTTTATTTCGTTTTTTTCTTCTTTCGAAGCTCTCGTAGGATGAACATTGATCATGCGAAAGGAACCACCCAGAAAGTTTGTCCGCCATTCGCCGTTACGAACCTTGGAAGTTCAAGCTGAAGCAAAGCTCTGGTAGCGCCTGGTAGGTAGGCAGCATCATGCCCGCAGCGCATACGTGTACTGCGGGGCGGCCTACCCCGAGTCTCGCAGGCGCCGAGCACCCCCGTAATTTGTCGACTGTGTCTGAGTAGAGAACGCGGACGTAATTTCTGTACGACCCCTGAAACGAATGTCGAATGTAAAAGTGGTCCAGGCCGCCCGTGCCGCCTAAACTCCACGATCCTCCCATACAGCACTCCCGCGGCGGGGCACGCAAGCGGCGGGCGCGTCGAGACGGCGGTGCAACGAACACCCATGACAAAGGATCATGCCAGACTGACAATAATGCCGCTGTTAAAATTTCATCTTATTTTGTCGTAAGCTGGTCGGCCGGCCAGTAAAAAGACGGTCCAAATCCTTCGATAACACCACCACCACCACTACCACCCTTGAGCACCCGCGGGGGACGAGCGAGCAAGCAGGCGCTCCCTCGCGGGCGCGTCGGTGCGGTTCGCGCGCGTTATTATAACGCGACCCGCTGTTGATATATTTTTCCTGGGAATGACCAGCACCCCCCCCCTCTCTTCCACACACACTTGGCGCCGCCCCTCTGCCCCCTTCCCTCCCCCCTTCCCCTCCCGCGCCGCTCGGCTCGACCGCGACCCACAACCACGCCCAAAATAGGCAGGCCGTCCCGTGACGTGTGGTGTGCTCGTGCGGCAGAGCCGGCAGAGCAAGCAGGCAGGGGCGAGAGGCGGGGCGGGGCGGGGCGGCGGCGGGCCTCCTCCTCGCGACGCAGCCGGCCTGGCGCAGCCGCGGCCGCGGGGAGGGCGGCCAGGGGGTGTACACGAGTTCCTCCGCCTACCACGTGGGTTTTTATTTTGGGGTTGATGCGCGCGGGGCACAACCTCTCTCCCTCTCTCTCTCTCTCTCTTCATCCGGGTGTAACGAGCGACACATACACGAGGGCGAGTGAATGGAAGGTTGCGTCATTTATCCAAGATACATATTTAAAGAGAAATAGATCTACTACTCCTCGGGGATCCTTTGCATGGCTGGACCGAACAGACAAATGCAACGGTTCGTCGCGTTCACCACACGACCCACCTCGCGGCCGTTCCACTCGCGGCTCGCGGGCTTAGGTATGGCCCTCGCGGTCAGCTTGGCCTAGACCCGGAGCGAGGTCTGGGCGAGTCCCGCGGTCGCGGCCGGCGCGGTGACCTCGGCTGGCCCGTGGCCGGGCCGTCGGCAGGCACCCACAGTCGTCCGAGGGGCCAGGCCAGCATGTCGCTCGAGAAAAGGCACGCCGCGCACTAGAGTTTCTGTCTTTGGGCGCTCTGTCGCGCTCTAAACATTCAGTTCTCGAAAGAACACAGTTTGTCAATCGCACAAACAACAAAATGAGCCAGAGTAAACAAACAATCTGGTGCCCGTACGAAAAATTTTCCCCTCCGTGGCGCCCCGACGACACAGTTTCCACGCGGAACGGTGTAGGTACGCTGTGGCCGGAAACTCCCGCACGGAGCCCACTGCGACACGCCGAGGTCATCCCCGCGCCACGCCTCTGCCCGTCGCCATTGAGAGGGCCGAGGGCCTGGTTACCCCGTCCTAAAGTCGGACCCGCGGCCCCTCCCGAGGTGGTGGAGGCCCCGCAGAGGAACCGGTGGGACAGGTCAGGAAGGAAGTCCGCGGAGGGCGAGCAGCGGCGACGGGGCGGAGGCGCTCCGCAGCACGAGAGCAGCGGGAGAGAAGCCGGAGAGTCCCTCGGGCAGGAGAGCAGCCGGAGAGTCCCTCGGGCAGGAGAACAGTCGGAGAGCCCCTCAGGCAGGAGAGCAGCCGGAGAGCAGCCGTGGAGCAGTGGGAGAGACCCTCGGGCCTCCAGCAGCCGCAGAGCAGGAGAGCGCCGCTGCTGACCCGGACTTGACGGGCGCTCCGCCTCTGCCTCTGGGCGGCATTATGGCATTATTGAAGTGGGTGGGACAGCAGCGGTGGCGCTGCGCGTCACGGCGACAGTCGGCCAGTCATGTCATGATTAGTGTCGAGCTTTCGCTTCTCGTCCAAACTGTTGACGTGCCGGGCCGCCTGGCCGCCCCGGCAGGCGTCGTGCTCCGTCCTGTGGGGTCGGGGGGCGGCGCGGGTAAGACGGCCGTGGGTCGGTGGGTGGGTGGCAGATGGCAGAGCCGGTAAGGTAACACCGCGGCAGACGGAGCCGGTCGGCCACGCCCGGCAGCAAGCGGCTGAAGACATGTTCTCACCCAAGGTCGCCTTCAATGCGCACCATAGTTATGATCCACATGTCGCCGTTTCACTCACTCGCCCCCCGGATCTCCTCAAAACCCGGGAAGATCGCGGGAGCGTCGCGACGATCCGTCGGGGACGACGGGTCCGGCGTGACCGGCGCGCGCGCAGGCGCGGTCTCAAACTTCCCGGACGAGTTGCTCGTTGTGTGGCGGGCGCGCGCGCGGGGGGCCGACTTCGCCCGGGTTGCGCCCCGGCCCGCCCCTGCCCATATGGACCGCTCGCGCTTCCTATGGCATCATGCATCATGGAAGGCCACGGAGGCCGGGCCTGAGCCGGGCCGGGTGAGGTAAGCCCCTCTGGCATTGAGGATCAATAACGAAGCGCCGACAAATTTATTAGAAGGCTGCGTGAACGTCCTGGACGAGCCCGAGCGACACACACACACACCACACATACAAATACACACACCGAGCCTCTGCAGAGGCCGAGAGGGGGGCGAGCAGGAGGTCTTCCTTCTGTCACGCGGGGCGTGAAGTGATGGATTACTGACGATGGACGATATGCACCAGAAGAAGACGGAGTCCTAGAAAAGAGGGGAAGGCAGATGGCATGGCAGACCTTTGCAAAGCACCCCCGCTTCGTCGACACTAATTCTACCCGCCATATTTTGCTGAGATTGGTTCAAAATATGGCGCGTCTTATTGGGTGCGACACTGGGACGCGCAGAGTGATAGAGACGGAGACAGGAAAAAAGAAAGCGAACCACCTGGTGGCACATGCCCATGGCCGTCGAGTGCGTGCTGTTGTCGCATGTCTCTCGCGGTGCTCTGGGGGCGTGGACGGGCGCGCGGCGGTAGCGGGCGGCAAGCGGCCAATACGGAGAGCGCGGGGGAGGGCAGGGAGGGGAGGTCCGGGGGGAGAGCGGGAGCGGGAGAGCGTGGGACGCGGCGCGCGGAGAGTCTGTCCTGTTGGGGACGCCGCA